CCTTTGCTGTTTGCTCTTAAGGGTTCACAGTGAAAATTTCCATAAGTAATGTGAATACAAAAGCTTGTGTATTCCTCAGTTTTTCATTGCAGCAGTGCTCAGAGTTCCCAGGGTGCTAAAGACCATGGGCCAGATTCTATTCTACCTGTACATCCACAATCACACAATAACAAACTGGTATTTAAAAAGTAATTCTCTGGGAATCATAACCATTTTATGTAAACTTCCAAAGAATATACTAACACTCTCAACAACAAAATGTAAATTATTTGTTGTTATAGTACAAGCACTTACTTAATATTTAAACATGGAATAGAAAAAGAATTTGGCAATAATACAAGAGAAAAGTTCAAATAAGGAGTGCAAAAATCTAAATAGTACAGTATATAAGGAGGTTAACAAGTAAGTCTTTGCAAATTCCTTTGCAGATAATTAATATTACTGCAATGTTTTCCAGCAGTCCCCACAATTAGCATGTTAAAAAGTCTCCTAAGAATTATATATTAAATTTAATATAGGAAACTATGACTAGCAAAACAACACTATCTACTGACTGGCAGTTATGAATCTCCGAAGTTTTAATAGGAAGAACCATTACATGTTATTCATATAAGGGCAATCTTACCTCCTCTATTCCAGGTATTCAGACTTCCATCAGGCAAATTACAGGGTTTTTCTTGGGTTGCACTTAACAATAAGTTAGCTACATCCAGAACCACATCATCTACAAAATCCCGAGGAAGAGTAGCACAGTTCCTCACTTGTTCTACTTTTTCTCTGGGCCGAAATCCAGATAGCCAGATGCCACTATCATCTATCTTAGTCTCATTTTCAGGAAATTCCAAGTCTGCTGCTTTGTCAACTGCACTCTTTTTTATGTTATGATTGTCACAGTGATTAGATCCAGCTCGTCTGTCCTGTGGGATGACAATGCAAGATTGACGGCTATTGATATACTGTGTCCGCTGCTTATCAATTAGAGATTCTTGAGTAGATGGATATGTTCTGGACTTGCCAATTAGGCATACCTATGTTAGCAAAAAAAAAAAAAAAGTTACTATTTGTACTAGGTGGTGTTTTACATACAAGTCCTGCCCACCCAATCAACAAATATTAGAATATGGTTGGATAAACTATTTACCATGAATTTAAAAAGCAGGGCATTATCCTGCTCCAGCTGTTTTGCAGGACCTGGCAGGTACATGCTTTCTTTCCACATCTACACTGCTGTAATCTACCCCTTTCACTGAAGGATAAGTTACCATGCTTTAACTAGAATTGCACAGAAGTAACCCGAGTCCATTTAGACACCTTATACATAGGAAAAAAACCCCTAACCTATGTGCCCACGTAATAAAATGCAGATTCTGCCCTAAAGAGCTCCTAATCTTAGCACATGACATGAGAAGAGGATAAAAACATCTACATTAGAGGAGAAATACATCTACTCTGAAGTAAGAGCATGCAGCATGTGATTACTACAGAGCAGCTGACATGGGGTAAAGTCCCAATGTCCTTTTTCACCTCTGGTAACTATTTTGCCTTTCACATTTTGAATTCTAAATGGGCGTTTACTGTTGGAATGTGATATTCGATAAAGGCTAAGTATTTATTTATTTGCATAGAGCAGGTATGAGTCCCATTCTGGGATGAGCACCCCATCTGTGGTAGGCTCTACACAAACACAGAACAAAAAGACAGTCCCCGTCCCAAAGAGCAATTGCAGCATCAAGTCTCAAGATCCTTCTGGGATTCAAATAGTGACAAAACCTGTACTGGGCAAACAAAGGCAGTGTGAGACCTTGAAGAGAAAGGGTGTAGAAGAGCAGGTGCATAACAAACTTTTCTCTCAATGCCCATACATATAAAAATAGCCATGTAAGAAGGGGGATGCAGCCCCTGGTGCTTATTTGGAGCCCTTTGGTGGGGGGACTAAGCATGCTGTGACAGACTTCCCAGAAGACAGAGGAATGATTTTATCCTCACTTGGAAAACATTGTTGGAAATAATGTAATCCACTGGGACCTAAGCTTCACTGCAGTCATTAGGAATAAAAGTTTGCATCCCTCAGCTAGCAGCATTTTAAAAACAATGTCATCCAAAATTACCCTTTTTGTTGAGGGAATTCGAAGACTGTCTTCTTCTACATTAAAGCCACATGCGCATCCCACTTGTGTAACAAAATCCAGATACTCTCTGTACTGTGTCTTCTTGCTCTGCCTTCGGTTATATTTTCCATGAAAATCAAAGAAGCAACAAGGCAGTACAAAGTAGCAACAAGAATATGAAGACCTGCAAGAAGGGTATGGGCTTCTGAATAAAATGTTATAGGAAACCACTGCAATGAAAATACATAAAACTTCGTCAACAACCCCTCAGATACAAGCAACAAAAACATTTTCATGCAGTAATAGAGCTTCCAGGCCAAGCAAGAAGTGTTTCTCCTTTGGAACTCCAAAAGTGAAACAGTCTCTGATTAAACCGAATGTTTGCTCTAGTGATTTACCATACCAGCATAGTTTAATACCTAGGGACCTAGTTCTGCAAACTACGCACCACAACTAGTTGCAATGAGAGAATTCAAAGTAACACAAAGTCTTATAATAAATGTTTACTGCAATGGGGCTGAAATTTAAGGAGCAAATACCTTATTGTATTTCTTGTCATCTCACAAGTATGCTCTTTTATTAAGGGTAGCTGTCATGATGGTTATAGTAGTGAAATGCTTCTCAGGCACCTTAATGGAATCTATAAGGGGTCTGCAATGCTTTTGGGCTGAGTGCCAAAAATCCCACAACCTGGACTTCAAAGATGTTGGCATGCCAGGGCAGACAGCAGGGGACCCTTGGGGGGGCCTGATCCTTGTTGCGGCTGCGCAGCCCTGTCCCCTTTTCTGCTGTGCTCCCCAAGGTGTGCGTGTGGCCGCTGCTGGCAACAAGCCAAGCCAGGGCTCCAGACCACAGTGCACCAGTTGCAGCCTCCCAGCTACCTCCCACAAAGCCTGCCCGCAGCAGGGCTTCCAGCTTCTCCACCGCCTGCTGTGAGCAGCCTGGGCTTCGTGGCTGGCAGCAGCTGCCCAGAACCTGGACCAACGGTGGTGTGCCGAACAAAATGACCTCACATGCCATGCTCTGGCCTGCATGCCAGGGGCTGCCAACCCTGGGAATATATAGTGTTTTGTGCAAGCAATCATTAAACCTGCAAAAGACACAAGCTGCAGACCCAAAAGATATAGTTTTAACAGGTCATAGATGTAGTAAAGTTCCCACTAAAAACAAAACAGAAACAAATACTGCCCCCCCTTCCCCCCTTCCATACCTTGCTGCTATTACAGGTACCCATGGTGTTAGCTCATCTGAATGGTTTCCTATTAGCCAGTCAACATCTGGAAACAGGTAACTCCCACATGGTTTGACTGCACATTCCTGTTGAGAGGAAGGTGCATTTTTTGATGGATGCGTTTAAACACAGTAAATTTGATACCACAGCAACAATATGAAACCCTAAACAAAGACAGATTTCAGGGTGAACAACAGTAAAATGTGAATGCACCAATATTTTCCCCAATTGCATTGTAAGAAACATTTTTGCCATGCAAGGATTTTTTTTTTTAAACTGTTTCAAAGAATTAATGGTTACACCCAAAATAATAGTCAGGTGTAAAGCTGCACTGACAGTTTAATATGGCTGCACAAACAATCAAATGACCTAGGAGAATTCTCCTGGGTTTGTTCTCCGGGTAGAAAAACTTACCCATAGATGCCTGAACAGACTTTTGAAAAGTTGAGCTGTTGAAGAGAAGCGAGTTTGCAGTGCTGATGCTGCACAGCCATGGGGCCCCTGTGCACACAACTCAGGGTGCTCTGCAGGCTCCCAAGTCAGCCTGGCAACAGTGCACAAGGAAGCCCCGATTGGCTGATCCAGATTGCTCAGGGTCAGCCTGCGTCTCCTGCAGCACAATGTGCGATTGTGAAGGGGACATGTTCTGTTCCTTGCTGGAGCAGAGGCCAGTGAGCAACACATTGTTTTCTGCAGGCGGAATAGGGACAGAAGCAAAGCACCCTGGCATGCCAAAGGACTGTGTTGTGGCTTCTCTCAGAGAAGAACATGTACTAATATTCACTCTTCCAGGAGAAACTCTCCTGGAAGTAGTTTAACCCCGGTTGTCCCCAAGTTATCTTTTTGCTGCTGCAGTGGCCATTTTTGCTCGGAGAAATAAAAGTCCTGAACATCTATATACTTGTTGTTTCTCCTGGTACAGAATGGTATAAGTGTGACTGTACTTCCCTACCATTCTTCTGGTGTCAGTTATCCTTTTGTACCTTAATCTTCCAACTGCACCACTTCAATTGCAGCCCTTCAGGATACATACGTTTGCCCACAGCCTAGTGCACGATTCAGCCTAGTAGAGATTCTCTGTTCTGCTTCTCCCAAAAAAGGACTCCTATTTCCTTAAACATGTTTTTCCTACCAAGCAGTCCCTTTCATATGTCTCTATGGATGCTATTCACTGCTGCTTCAACTTGCCTCAGAGCAGTTGCACAGTGCACCAAATCACAGGGCTACTTGTGTGTGCGCCCATGCAGAGAAACAGACTTTGATTTGGGAGTCCTGATAGAGTGTGAGGACAGCTATGTGGTGGAGAGCTGGCAAAGAGGAGAGAGAAAACTGGATTTTTTTTTTTGAGAAATATGGATATTGAGCTGGAGAAACAAACAGGGATGAGAGGTGCTAAGTTTAGAAAAAAATATACATTTTAAGTATATATCAAGGACCTTTGAAGGGGAACTGGGGTAGATTTGGAAATTAAAAAAAAAAAAAAAAATCAGTCAGTGAAGTATGAAACAAGGATTTTAAGCCTGCTTTACCTGCAGAGTCTGGTGAACTCTGGAGCCACTACCCCTACATCCATTTTATATGTAATGCATGCTTTTTATTTATATTGACATGAATTTTATTTACCTAGACTAGATGCACATATAAACACACATACTACGCAGAGCTTCAGAATCTAATGGTAAAATGGTTGCCTACACTGTAGGTCTGTGACAAAATGGAAAACTACACAGCACTGGGGAACACCAATGGTGGCATTGTCAAATATACCCATAGTTTATAACTATGCAGAGAAGTGATGGGGTCTAGTAAATGACCAATGCAAACAAAATGGTTTTATTTCAAAACTGCCATTATTTTCTGAAACATCCTTGTATAAACACACAGTAAACCCTTAACAGATGTTATGCTTAAGATATGATTAACTGGTTAATCACGTCTTAAGTAGTGACCTGATCACACATTCATTCATTTAATGGACTGAGAAAACAGCCACAAAACAGGGAATAAGCCGCAAACTTCATAGGAGCGCTGGCCACACCTTCAGGTTAAGGTGTGATGGGAACCAGCCACAAAATGTGTTTAATAGCATTATTGCTGTTTCCCATCACACCTTAACCTAAATGTGTGGCTCCCAGCCTCAGGAGTACACTGGAGCCATTCAAGACTCTGGTGGGCTCCTTAGTCTGGGAGTACCAGTCAGCTGACCGAGGCTTCCAGCTTGCTGGGAGTGCACTGGAACGCTCGACTCCCATGGCTGGGAACCCTGGTCAGCTGATGATCGGCTCCCAACCATGGGAGTGCATAGAGCCCTTGGTTCCGAAGTGCTCTTTCATTTGAGCACTGATTGGCTGACCGGGGTTTCGAGCCAGGGAGCCCTTGGAAAGGCTTCATGCATAGCTGTAGCAGACAAGGGCTCCAATGTGCTCCCCCAAAATGGGATCCCCCCCACCCCCCCAGCATGGGGAATGCAGGGAACCTCTTGGCTCCCATGGCTCGGAAAGGCAATTACTCAGTGCTCCCAGATGGAAGAGAACCCATCAGCTGACCAGCACTCCCAGCCATGGGAGTAGATGGGAGCCAAGGCACTCCTTCAGCTGGGAGCCATAATCACCTGACCAGTGCTTCCAGCCACAGGACTACACAGGAGCCAAGCTTGCTCATTATCCTGAGCTGGACTGGCAATATGGCATGATTGGAATGTGATCCTCAAACCCTCATTTATGCCTTCTGCAATGCATGTGTAGCATGGCAGGTGGCACGACTGTTGGGACTGCACATCAGATCCCATAGTGCCTTAATTTAATGTCTGTCAATGGCCTTTAACACATGCACACATCTTCCTGCTCACCAGGTGGTTGTATGTAAACCCAGGTGTACTAAGCCAAAGTATTAGGTAAATGTTTTTATGGTCTGTGAACAAATTACCACCTACAGCAGATTTCAGTTTTGATTGTTCGTTGCTGAACTAGTATAGATTAGCAACACTGTACTCTGCATTTAGATAATTGTACATAATCAGATTTTTATTCATCACATTTGACAGCAGTTCGGTGCTGTGATGTGCCACCTGTTACACTCGAATATAATTTCAGTATTGGCACTGAATGCTACAGATTGTAGTATTTGTCCCATAACATGTGCTTTTAAAGAAGTCACACAATACGAAAAAAACTTCTGAAGGTAACAGAAAGGTACTATGAACAGGTGCTTTCTTCTTTTACAGATCCTGTTGTTTAAGATTCTCTTAGGCACAAATGGAGGTGATAACATTTGGTTTTGTCTCTTATTCCTACACAAAATAATCCTTATATGGCAGGTCTATAGGTTTTCTGTCTGACTTATATCTTAATTGGTGTATGTTTATTTAACCAAGACTAATAAACAATATGAAAACTAATAATGATTATGTAATGGAAAAAAAGAAAAAGCAAACACTTTTCCTCTTTGTCCTATTACTATGCAGTTAAGAGCCTGATACTTCCAAGCACTGACTCTCAATGTAACTCAGGAGAGATAGGGTTCTTGGCATCTAGAGGGACAGTGCCATATGGACACGATCCTCTCCAAATGAACTGGCAAAGCTCCCAAAGATGAAAACTCCATGATGCTAAGACAGGACCTAAATGAATAACTATCACTAGAACAAACAGAACCTTTGTTAGCTGTGACATTGGCACAAACATAGCTTAAAGAGAATTAAAAACACAGTAACTTGCTGCACTAGCCTTTCAGACCAAGAACAAGGAACTTAAAGAATCCTTTAATAAAATGCATAAGCAGTATTTGGAGCATAGACTGCAACACAAGATTCTTCCCATCTCAGACATACACTTCACTGGGCTAGAATCATATTCCCTCTTGGTCCTATTCATTTTACATGTTTGGCTGTACAGTTGAAACAGCTTTAAGCAGAGGGATGATAAATGCTGCCTCTTCCTCTCCTGTTGGATCAGGGGCACCACCTTGGGTGACTTGGAGACGTGAGGTTGAGGGAAGGATTACAACCCATCTCCAACTTCCTTGTCATATGCTCCAACTAGACCGCTCCATAAAATACCACCAGCACCACCTCCACCTACTTCTCCCCACTCTCTCCCCAACCTTAAAAAAAGAAAAAAAAAGAAAAAGGAAAAAGAAAATGGCTATTCTGCTGTGCTTTGTGCTGAACACAGTTGTTCTCAGGGCATGCTAGGTTTACTGTAAGCACTCCTTCCATATCAGGCCTCTTAAACTTAAGCATGCTGATGCCTTAGTTGTTTGTCCCAAATGGACAGAAGGATGAAAGAGGCACTGAGATTTGCTTCACTTCAGGGTATGTGCAGTGGCTTAATTTTAGGTGCCAACAGAACTTCATTGGTGAAAACAGGCATATAAGCAATACTTTTTAGTAGGAAGACAGTCAGGAGTCTAGAGAAAAGGAAATGGGGAAAACAAGAAAAAAAAGGCAACTGTCCATCACTAGGAAGATTTGATAAATGCTAACAATGCATGGCTGGATTTAAAGTGAATGTTCCTGTGCTGCAATTGTTCCTGTTCTCATAAAAATGCTAATGTGGAGTTTGAAAGATAATCCCTCTTTCAGACTCACTTTCCTGTCCAGTTTTCTAGAGGTTATTATTGTAATGACTTACTACAAATTGACTATAGCAGATGATTGTTCCCTTTAAGATTCAGCAACAATGCCCCTCAAAAATGACACTTATCACTGTGAAAGGCTAGAGACCAGAATCACTTTCAGAGTAATTCCATTAATAACTTCTAGAAAAAAAATGCATGATTCCTGATCTTTAACATCCTTTATGATAGCAATATATGGTGCTGTCGCCCTAGTACTATATATACTAAATAGGATTTGACTGAAATATCAATGGGTGTCTACGCACGTTAAGATATCACACTAATCCCCAACTAAAAGTATAAGAAAATTGAGAATATGCAATAAATAAATATCCAATAAATAAGGGTCACCTGCCCCTCAGGCCCTCAACAAGGGCTTCAATATGTTTGTCCCACAAAACATCCCCATGTTGAACTGAACTCATTGTAGCTGGCTGGTCAATAGATGTATGTGCTAATCTGTATTTGCACTAAATTTGTTTGTTGCAATAAATGGCAAATTAATGAATAAAATAGATAATGTATGATTGACCCAGGTTTTAACAATACCTCTAAATGTGTTTGAGGTCCATACATGTCCCATATTTTTCTTCGTCTCACATCAATTCCTTTGCCTGGATGCTGAAATATATAGTTAATAGTTAAAAATTAAAATACTATCTTACATTCTTTTCATCACAGATTTTCAAGGAAATTTACCCAGTCATTTCACAAACTACATGAAAAAGCCACCCCATCCACAACAAAATTAATCTATTTCTGTGAAACAGGGTACTGCTTCACTATGTAGGCCAGAAACTGAACAGCAGGTCGAACAGAGAGAGGCAAAGTAGGTAGTCAGAAAGCACCCAGTTTGAAATTTGCCCAGGGTGTAATGTTAGGAAAATGCCATAGATACTTATATGAACAAAAGTAACAAAGGTTTTGGTTTTGCGTGAAAACCTAATATGTAATGCAATAATGCTAAGCCCTTGTTCAAGAAATCAGTGTTACCTATGGAATCCTACCTAAACAGTGCCAGCTTATAGTACAGGCTCGTCCGAAACACATTTACCATTGGCAATTCACAGGACAAAGTTAGGAAATAGGAAAAAGTCTTGGGTCCTTATATGAATTAAAAGAGGCATAGTATAGCTTTTTGTTTGTTTGTTTGTTTGTTTAATCAAAACTTATCAGGTTAGCAATCTTGCCCTGGGTTCTGGAGAAATGCTACCTGTTTCATTCTCAAAGACGGGCACAGCCGGGCAGTTTTGCATCATGGGCAGCAAGGGCACAAGAGGCAGTGGCACCCAGGACTGGTGTCCTGCTCGCCACCCCTCTTTCCCAGTTATGCTATTGCCCAAAAAGCGCTGACTTTAAATACCGATTCACCCAAACATGTTTACTGTATGACAATCAATGGAATCTTTACATAAGGTGCCATGGCTGCAAACTGAACCAAGAAACAAGAAATAAATTAACAACCCAACTTTTGTTCTAAGACTCCTATTTACATTGGATAGACAAAATAAAGACATGAATGGGAAAAAAAAAAAAAAAAAAAAATCAATAAATGTTTCATGGAATTCCTACAGTCTATAAGATTGTACCAACACATCAGTCCCATGCCGGATCGGCACCAATATAAGGAAAATTGACAGTATCGGCAATCAGCTTTTTTTGGCTGATGTGACCAAGAATTTCATCGATAAACACCCCGTGCATGTACGCAGTCACAACGCAGCATGCAGGCAGCCAAGAGCACAGCCCGGCAGTGTGGAGAGCAGACAGGTCTGGCTGGTAAGTCTGTTATGAGGGAAGAGGTGTGGGCATGAATGACATGTGCCCCCGGCAGCTGGGGAGGCACGGCGGCAGCGGGAGTGTGGCAGCAGTAAGCTGGGGAGCTCACATAGATGCCGCCAGCAGGGGGAGGAGGGGGAAGGGGATGGCGAGTGCTGACCAAGGGTTGGTGACCACCCACAGCAGTGGCCAGCGGGGACTGTGGACCGCCCACAGACACCGCTGGCAGCAGGGTGGAGCCTTTTTGTAGGGGGTGCACCACCATGCTCAAGGGGTGCATGTGCACCCCCTTCATGTTGCCCCTGGGTGGGGGGGGCAGAGCGAGGCCCCCACGGTGAGGGAGGGAGTGGGGCTGCGGCAGGTGTTGCACAGCCAGGGCGGGGCGCAGAATGGGACAGAGCTGAGCTGCTGGTTTGGGGGGTGCAGCAAGGATGTGGCCAGCTCCCGTTGTTCCATGCACCCTGGGAGGGCACGAGGCGGGGGGGAGGGGGAGGATGCCCCCAGATCTGTGTGCAGGACAAGGGTGAGCTACCACTGCAGGCTGGGACTGGGCTGGGCTCTTCCTGGCAGGAGGCTGGGCCAGACTGCACTTGGGGTGGGTGGTGGCAGGATTGGGAGGGGGATTATGGGAGGCCTATGGCGAATTTTGGGGTGGCTGCAGCCACCCTCCCCTAGCCCCCTCCCCGCAACGCGGCCACCCCCCCTGAGGGGCACCAGCCCCCCGCCGGGAAAAGCCTGGCCCCGCCACAGCCTGCAGTGGCAGCACACCCCTGCCCCAGCTATGTAGTGCCTGCCTCTGCCCCAGCCCCAGCCCCACTCCCTCCCTCACTGTGGGGGCCTCAGGATGCCCCCCACACCCCTTCCCTCTTCCCCCACAACAGGCTTACCAGCTGGACGCTACTCTCCAAGCTGCCCGGCTGCATATCAGCAATATCAGTATCGGCTGATATGGCTCGTTAAAAATCAGCCATCGGTATCAGTCCAAAAAATATCTGTCTGTGCACCCCTAACAGTCTTATACATTTTTTATAACAATTAACATTCTTGCAGAAGTTTTCCTAACGACAAAGAATTTTATGAGATGAAAAAGAAAGAGCAATTTCCCTAGGTTTTGATAAAACTCACTGAACTTCTTTGTTTGTTCCATATATTTCTGATATCAAATAGCCTCCTTTAGAACCTAAATGTTGTTGTGCCTCCTTTCTTTCTATGCACAAACAGAAATTTATTGTTTTCACAATTAAAAATTAAGGCTTTGATTTTTTGCTTTTGTTATCCCTGGGGTTTTTTCCCCCCCCAATATCAGTGAAGGTATGGAAAAATCTCTTGTAGCCTTGTGGAATAAACTGTAGCTTTATGTTTTAATTACTTAATTTACATTAGTCCTAAGCCAGCAACATGTTCATTTCAGAGACAAGCACGTCTTCTACAAATGAATAATAAGCCAGTAATAATTTTTGTTCCTGATGACTAGGGAGGTTCACAAATATGCTCTAGTAGTGCTACTGAAGTACAGTCTGTTATCAAACTCTTGGATAAATGGAACACAGAATTAGAAAAATGACCATCTCCAGTTGTATTTAAAAATAATTATACTTACCCCTTCTCTGCTTAGAATGTGAACCAGCAAACCATTTCCACATCCAAGATCCACAAAAGACTGTTTCTTAGACAAGCCTTTTTCTGCTCGCTCCTCCTCCCAAAGGATCTAAGCAAAGACAAAAAGGACAGCAAATCTGTCATCTTTTGGAGCATTTTATAGCAACTAAGGGCTAGGTCCAATTAAGACTGGGTCACGTAGCCCCAGAGTGGAATCCAGAACCTTCCCGTAGATTTCTAAGCTCCTTATATAGTGCATGGACAAAGGGTGGACCTCTGGATAGGATCCTCAATAATTAACACACTGCTCAACGAGCTCCCTAAGACAGACAATAGGAAATGATGAGGAAAGAGGTACACCTGAAAGCCCACACAGTCTGGGGGCTTTAGGTACCTTATTTTATGTAGCAGAAAGGCACCTCTAGCCACTTGGGATTCATATCCCAAAATCTGTTCCCCAAATCTGACCTTTCAAAGATATGAGCAAGGCTTTTTTTAAATGACAGCACATAAAAGGGGCAGTCATGCCCCTTTTATATAGCATTCTACTGGTTAGAGCACTCCTGCCCCCATGAGCTTACTAGCTCAGTGCTGCTTGGGATCAACAACAGGGTGGAAGGAGAAGTGGCGTGGGGCTTTTCACGGGAGAAAAGAGAAAGAACATGATCTTACAAAGAGCTAGGTGCTTTTGTGAACTGCTATGCACCCCCAACTGCATCAAAAACAACAGAAGTTGAGATTTTTCAAGGCTATGCAGATGGGGCCCAATGGATGCATTAGTATGAGATTGGGGTGTACTTGGTACTATAGTGTGAAACAGGGGTGTACTTGGTACTTGAGACAGAGAAGGAATTCTTCCTGAGCTACACATCAAAGAGCTACTCGGCACAGTTCACAGACACTCTCATGGACCCAGAGGGACAGCCTTCCATCTTCAGTTCCCTCTGTGCAAAAATGAAGTTTATTTCCTATCCATGGGGATTTTGTTACCATTTTGTACCATCTATACTTTTCCCAGAGCTGACAAAGGGACTTTGATCCCAAAAGCTTCCAGAAAAGGACAATTTTCTTGTGATTTTCCAGTTGGTTTAATAAAAGGTATCATTTTGGAACCAAGAGTTCTAGTTTTTTGTACGTCTTAGTGTGAGATAAGATCACAAACTGCAAGCAGGTGAAACTCCACAGCACCTGGTGAGAGGCACAAATGAAGCATACCCTAAGCCAGTGGTTTTCAACCCGGTCCATGTGGCGCATCTAGGGAGTCTGCAAAAGGTAAAGATGGCTGTAAAGACGGTGGCACTGACTGAAGGGGAAGTGCCCCAGTGCCGCTGCTCCAGCTCCCTCCATTGCCTGAGACTGCCTGAGTACCAGCAGAAGGCAGCCCAGTGCCAGCAGGCAAAGCATGTGCTGCTGCTGGTGCTCCAGCTCCTCCCTGTGGCCAGAGTGTACCCTAGCATCAGCAGCAGGCAGTCTGGAGCCACGGAGGGAGCTGCTGCTGCCTGCTGTGCTTGGGAGGCCTCTGACCATGGGGGAGCTGGAGCACCAACAACAGGCAGATAGTAGGCAGGGTGAGGTTGGGTAGCATCACCTCATCCTGTCCCTGCCGCTGCCTCAAGTGAAATCCAGTGCCACTGTGAAAGGAAGATCCAAAGAGGGTCCATACCCCCATTCTCCATTTTTAGGGGGTCTAGTGACTAAATAAAAGCTGACAACCACTGCCCTAAAGTAATATAGCAGGCTTGTCTGGCAATCAGAAAATTGTCCCACAGGCTGAAAGGGCAGAAAATCATTGCAGCTAATCTCAGCAGTTGTCCATGCTGTGTCAGTAAGTGGCTCTGTAATGACAGGCCCCTAACTGGGGGAAAGCCTGAGAGTAACAATGTGGAAAGTCTTAATGAAGTGAGAAAAGCTGAGCAAGGACTGGGCAACAATGTAACCAATATAATTAGACGGGACAAGCTGTGGGAATTAGCATGCTTACACTATTTTGAGTGGTGCAATTAATATTGAAATCCCTGGAATTTGGCAAATGGCTAGTGCAGTGGCAATCAACCTACCACTTGTGGGCCAGATCTGGCCCCCAAAGTGACTACATCAGGCCCATGGTACAAGGCATCAGCAACAGGCAGCTCAGCCCTACACATCCCCTTCCTTAACCTGTGCTATGCTGCTGATTCTCCTCCACAGCCATCCCTGCTCTCTCCCTCAAATGAATTTTACAAAAGGTACCTCAGTCAATCAGATAGCTATTTTTTGCCTACAAAAAAAAAATATTAGGACTGCTTTGAATATAGAATTGATATTTGTGCCTTGGATTCTTGTTATATTGGCTGGTTTCAGGAATATTCACAAGCACCTTCCCTTCTGTAAATTGTTATTTTGGTGTAATTCCATCAAAATACCAGCTTGTATTTATATTTTAAAGTTTATAGATCATGATGCAAAACGTGGGCATGGTAATACTGCAAGGTGCCAATCATAGCTTACACAGATCAAGCTCCAGAATAAGATCTTCAAAATGCAAACGGGGCAAGTGTCTAGTATACATGCTAATCTGCAGAAATACCACTGGTTAAATTTACAAGCAACACTACAAAGTATATCTTTAGAAAGTGTTTCCTTAGCGATTCTGTCAATTCTGATGTTCTTAGCCTGTAGTAATAAAGCTGCATCCCCCCTAGTCCTGATAATGCTTTTGTTGACTATTAAATTATAACACAGTTGCATTTTTATAACACTTTATCAAGTATCACAAACACCATTTTACAAATGAGGTAAAAAACAAAAGGGAGCACACAGAAGTTATAGCCCAGCTTTTGTTAAGCCACTTAGGATATTTTTTAACTTTTTCCTGATGAAGTTTAAAATGGCTGAACAACTTAGGAAACCTAGGACCATTTTCATATTACCTACATTTACCCCATAAATAAGACATGCCCGTCACTTTGGGAAGGCACAATAAAGGAAAAAGATTTTTCCAGAATCTGAACTGCTACAGCCCAGGCTCACCATAGCTAAATGCTCTTGACCAAATGCAGGGGCAGAGTCCACTCCAAATTGTCACTCATCTTCTAGCTGCAGTTCCACACTTGGAGGTTTAACCCACAGCCATAAATGGACTGGCTGCAACCTTTGGCTACTCAGCCAAAGTGTATTATCACAGCCACTACTAAATTGATGGGGAGTAAACCTGTAGCTATAGAACAGCAGCTAGAGGGTGAACTCCATTCATCCGTGTGTGGGCTCTACACAAAGCCCAGCCCAGCATCCCTCCCAACCCCCCAGCCCCACCCCGTTCCCCCTCCAGCAGCCATTCCAGTATCCTCATGCTTTTATTCTGGTGAAGAAATCAGTTTCGTTGCTTAAAATAAGCATTCCTATTTTGGAAGTTTCTTTTTGGGAAAAAGGTGTGTGTGGTAAATGACTAAGTGCAGTAGCTTCTGTTCTTAGAGTGTGTCCACGATGCCAAGAAGTAGGTGGCACTAACTCAGAGCAGGTAAAGTACTTCAATCCCCGAGCTAGCTCATGTGGTTATCTCCACATTGCATTGGACATAGCTCTAGTTATGGCAGTGCAGATGGTCAGCAAAATTTGCCAAAATGCCTAAGTAATGTATGGCCCAATTTTGAAAGGCATTCTTTGGTGACACAGAGAAATGAATCACTATACTCCATTTGCCATCCCTGACCTCCTGAACCTTACCTCTTCCAATATTCTGTTAATCTATTTCAATCCATGAACAGACTTTTTTCCTTCCCCCTGCCACGTCCCAGATCAGTGGGGCTGGGCAGGGGTCAACCCACAAGTCTTAGACACAGCCACCACCTGCCTGAGGCTCCAGTGTCACAGCTGCTAAAGCATGGGTTCTTGCCTGTGCTCTGACAGCTGAGGCAAGAAGCCCTGCCCTGGTAGCTGAAACACCAGCAAGAGCGAGTGGCTTTGAGAACCAGCCTGGATGATATGGAGTGGGGGGTCAGCCACCAGAGCTACCCCCTACTTCCCTATCAGAGAGCTCCAGTACTGTACAAAGGGTGACCTGACTCCCCCTGCCCTTTGAACAGTATCAGGGATCTTCAGTACTGTTTGGAAGATGGTGCAGATTCTGCCATTTGAGCAGTCCTAGAGATTTCCAGGGATGCTTGCAAGGGGTCTAGATTCTAGGTGCCCCTTAAAACAGTCTTAGGACAGTTCTCCTCACCCTGCCACCTTTGCAGGGTGGAAAGCTGTCCTTGGACAGGGGCTGCTTTGTGGCAGTTGCCAACTGCTCCTTGACAGCCTCCCAGAGGGCTGGGAATACCCAAGAAGCAGCCCTCTATTGTCCCCTGGCTGCAGAGCTCTTCTCTGAGGAGTTTCTGTAACTCTCCAGCCAGGGGAATGGAAAGTCTGCACACCTCCCTTTAAGACACTTTCCTAGCTTATCCATACCCTAAGTCAACAACAACCTCTTGTAGTAGAGAACAACAAAGGCTGACCAAACACTCTTTGAAGTAGTTCTTTTTAATTGTTAATTGTTTTGTATTTATTGGTTAGTAATGCTGTCCCTTTCTTGTGTTATGAAGCAGCATAAAAATGGACTAATCAGCTTTCAATGTAGTTCTGATAAGCTTGAAAATCTGAAGTCCTATCTAAACCCTTTTCTTTCCATGACAAGTATTCAAGCTTTTGTGATCACTCATATGCAAATCCTACTATTCTAACTGTCTTTGTTGCCATTCCCTAAGCCAGGAGTGGGCAAAAATACAGTCCGCAGACTGGATGTGGCCTGCCAACTGAGTTTACCCAGCCCACAGGCTAGCGGCAGCACTCTACAGCAGGCCCTGGCCTCTATAGCTGCTACCCAGCACCAGCTCCAGCCTTTGCTGGCACTGCGGGGGATGCTGGGTGGAAGCAGCCCTGCCCACCTGCCTGCCTGGGGGATGGAGTTCAACCCACCCAAGGCCTGTAGGACTGGACTACATCTCCCAGGAGCCACAGAGGACAATGGATGGAAGCAGCCCTACCTGCTGTCCCGGATTCGTACAGCGCCAGCATAGGCCATGGCTGAAGCACTGCTCATCCAGGGCCTGCTGTGCAGGTGGGGCTGCTTTTGCCCAGCATCCCCAATGCAGCACCTGGGACATGCAGCACCCTGGGCCTGCAAAGCCAGACTGCATTTCCCAGGTGCTGCAGGGGACACTGGGCAGAACCAGCTCCACCCACCTGGTACTGCATAGCAGGCCCTGAACAAGCCACGGGAGACAGTCTGACCACAGGTCTCCGCACTGTCTCATCCCACACCACCATCAGGGCTCCTGGGAGCCATGTGAGTGTGTCTGTGTGCGCACATGTATGCGTGTGTGTTTAAATGCGTGCATCAGAAGCCTTAATGGCAAGGTGGGACAGCACCAAGGCCCAAAGTCAGGTGAAAACCTGTTCCCCCAGCTGCGCACATGACCGCATATGAAGGGTTTGGGAAGCGGGGACCAGAGCATGCTACAGCCCTGGGTAGGCTTATGTCCCTGCTCTGGCACCAGCCCTGGCCCTACCGCAGGGGGTATGCATGCATCTATGCATGCATACATGTGCGCATGTTTGTGTGTGAGGCCCTCAACAATTCACCAAAACTCACTAGGTGCCCCCCAGCCCAAATAATTGCCCAAGCTGCTCTAAGCTTTCTCTCAATCTTAGCTTAAAATAAGCAATTACCTCATATTCTAGGCTCTTTTAAAGCTTTGTCTGAGAACTTACCATGAACATTATGTACACCCGTTTCCTATTTATAGATCTGTAAAACCTATGAAGCTCTCAGTTATTCAATTATCAATGTACCAATGCATTGGCTTTGAACCCATTTAAAAAAATCTTTAAAAAGAACAAAATTCTGGCCTCATGAGATATTCTGGTATCTATATTGCATGTATACTGAGAAGTCACTTACAAGAAGATATGCAGCAATGGCAACATCTTCATATACAAATTTTTCAGGATCAGTTACTTCAGGCCACACCTGCAGATAAACAAGGAAAAATAATCTATTACTCTGCCATTGTTATAAACTGTCAGTTTAGAGAGTGCATTCAAATACCCAGATTTTCATAGTCCTCTACTCCAGTGGTTCTCAACCTTTTTTGTATTAGGACCCACTTGTAAATATCAGTGGCCAGCCCCAAACCCAGTGCCCCTCACTCCCGTCCCTCACTGGAACTCTGCCAGCCTGCAAGAGAAAAGCCATAGTTTATTGTGTTTTTCTCCTTTAAAGGAGAATCCATTTTTAAAGTCTGTTCACGACCCTTTCATATATTTTTGCAACCCACTTTTGGGTCTCGACCCACGGGTTGAGAAATGCTGCTCTAGTCTTTAACCCATTCAGTACCTTGTGGACTTTAACCTTCCAGTAGGCCTGTGTGAGTAGGCAGCTAATCAATCCGGCTTCGGATCCGGGCGCTTCAGATGCCAGCGATCCGATCCAGAGCTCCGGATCAGTTTCCTGCTTGGATCCGGCCAAAGTGGCTCCAAAGCTTTGGAGCCACCTCAGAGATCCGGCCATAGGATATAATGGGGAAATCAATGAAATATGTATAACTTTGTTGTTTTTTCTCTGATTTGGATGACACTTGCAGGGGTGGTAGTCTCTGCTGAGAACATGAAAGCTGCCAACTTTCAAGAAGATAGGTGCAGGGGCTTGGGGGAAGCTGCAGCCCAAATTCTTGAAAGCAAAGCTGCAGGCCTGCTAGCCCCTGCTGCAGCCATGAAGCCTGACAGCTGTCAAGGAGATAGGTGCAGGGGTTCTGGGGTCCCTCTAGCTGCTGACAGGCAAAACTTGTGACATGGGTGCTTGTGCAACTGACTGTCTCCATCTTGGGGCAGTTGATTGTCTGTATTGATTAACACAAAAAACACCAAAGTTATAGATATTTCATTGATTTCCCATTATACACTATGGCTGGATCTCTGAAGCTTTTCTGAAGCAGTTCAGAAGCTCCTAACTGCTTTGGAAAGCCTAAAGAAGCCAGCACTTTGATCCAGACATGCTGTTTCGGATGCCGAAGCGTCCGAATCTTCTCCGAATCTGAAGCACGGTCTGAAGCCTTGCATAGCCCTACCTTCCAGCTCAATCAAAAAAGTATTATTCAATCTTAGGAACATGAACAAGAGACTACATGATTTTTTGGGGAGTTGCCCAAGGGAGTAATTGGTGCGTGAACTTGGAGAGAGAGAGAGAGAATATCTTTCATTATTCAACTCAAACAAGTTTTCAGGAAAGACAGTTCTGAATATGCAACTTGCAATGACCAAACGAAAGCACGTGCCCTCTAGTAGAGAATACATGCGTTTGTTTGTTTATTGCATTACTCAGAAAGAAATCACATAGGCATAACTGAAAGAGCCAACCATTGTAAAGATTATGTGGCATTGTTTTATTACAAAAAGTAGAATTTAGTATAACAGAATTCTGAAGAATTAAAAAAAATAAACATAAAAAGGAAGTTAAGGGGTAGGAGACAGGATGTAGTTTTACCTCCACTTCACACCTGAGAAACTGAGGTACAGAAAAGGTTAAGCAATTTTCCATAGTCAGAATTTTCATATGAAGAAAGTCTATCACAAAGCTGGGAATTGAACCCAGATTCCCTGAGCCATAATCCACTATTTTAAATCATAAAATGAACATTTCTCTTTCTTTTATACTGATATCTGCACACCACTGGAAAGAATGTCCCTTCAACATTCGTATTGGTTGAAAAAGCACTTGTTGAATCTTCTCTGGTGTGACTTTTGAGCCATGAGTTCCAAAAAGCTAAACCCCTTTTTCAAAAAGCTTAGACGGCAATTTGTAAAGGTATGTAGATATCTTAAAGCAGCAGCACTTATAATACTGACCGAGTCTAATGACTAGCAAAACAACAAAAGAAAGGCAGTGCTTCTGTCAACAATTGCAAAAGCATCTGAGTAAATTAGGGTGAGTCTCCCTTGCACTGCACTAGCCTGGAGCAACCTAGTCACACTATGCTCTTTTCACCCTGGAGAATTAGTCCTCACAGAGATCTGTACTAATGCACTTGGGACTACATCTGGTAGAGCAACTAGTACATTTAGACTGTGTAGGACAGATGTACACACTGAAAAGCAACCATGGCATGTAAGAAACTAAGGCCATGTACAGGCATTACATTTCTACCAGGAGAATCACCCTTCTTCTGGTAGAAACGACAAGTGTATAAACAGTTGTTCAATTTTCCATGGGGGAAATATGTCCCCGCCCAGAAGACCTTCAAGGTGTCAACCTGAAATATCTCTCTTGTGAGAGAGTTTCTCTTGGAACAATGAATGCTTCTGTATTCATCTCCCAGTCTGGTCCAGGACGGGGGCAGCAGTGACTACCCAGCCTGGGGACTTTGCACTGTTGTTCCCCTCCCCACCATGACCCATCTGGGAATGGAGAAAAGCAATAAGGAAATGCTCCCCACCCTTTCCACAGACCAGGGCCTGCCTGGGAGGGGAGGGGGCCTGTAGGCAGCAGCCACACGGGAGAGAAACTCATCCTTGCACAGCACCTTAAAGCCAGGACCTACATCCCAGACCTGTCTCAGAACAATTTCTAACAGGTGAGATTTCTTAAAAATGTCCACCTGCTAAAAATGAATATCTGTTCAAGGCTTAAGTCTCAGTCGTTTTCAATTTTATTCCTCCAAACAAAGATCAATAATATAGAACTACATTGAATTCTCTTTCATATGCACAATACATCTTTAAATCAAGAACAAATTTTAATTTAATGAAATAAAACTTTTTTCTTTTAAGTAAAATCCAGGTTCACCGAGGTATCAACCCTTGTTCTGACAGAATATAACTCTGGGATTTATGGCCTTTACACTTACCTTCACCATCTCTTTGTATTTTTCCTTTAGTTCTTGATAAATCTTGCTGTATTTTGCCACAGAAATGAGTGAGAGTGTGCTTTTAAACTCACTCTGTTTTTGCTCTAGGGACCACTTAGCCAGTTTGGACAACAGTTCATTTCCCAACCATGTTGTTTTGGGATACACAATTCCATCTGAAACCCAGCTTTCTGGAGACGAAGTTATAACAGAGATAGACCTTTAAAATACATATAAAAAAAAAATCAAAATAAATTTTTCAAGGATTAAACCAACTTAATAAGGTATTTCAAGAAAAAAAATCAGAAGTCATTCTAAACTTAAGCTGTAGTACATTTATTTTTACATGAATCTTAGTTCTCACTTAGTCCTAACCAACTTCAGCAGAAACGAGTCAGACTAACACTAAGTACTCCTAAAAATCCTTCCGAAAGCATTGGGGACAGGAACTGGAGGAGGAGAAAAACAATTGATAATGACTGGGGTGCTCAACCTTTTGGTACAGCAGGCCAGATGGGACCTCATGTGTCAGGATGAGGCCCCACACCACCTCCATTCTACCTCCATTCGCCAGACTACCATGCGTAGACCCTGAGATGGTGCAGAGTCACTTGGAAGAACTGGATGCCTTTAAGTCGGCAGGCCCGGATGAGCTCCATCCGAGGGTGCTGAAGGCACTGGCTGACATCATTGCTGAGCCACTGGCAGGAATATCTGAACGCTCGTGGCGCGCGGGCCAAGTCCCAGAGGACTGGAAAAGGGCCAATGTGGTCCCCATTTTCAAGAAGGGGAGGAAGGAGGACCCGGGCAACTATAGGCCAGTCAGTCTCACCTCCATCCTTGGCAAAATCTTTGAAAAAATTATCAAGGCTCACATTTGCGAGAGCCTAGCAGGACAAATTATGCTGAGGGGAAACCAGCATGGGTTCGTAGCAAGCAGATCGTGCCTGACTAATCTAGTCTCTTTTTATGACCAGGTTACGAAACGCCTGGACACAGGAGGAGGGGTGGATGTCGTATACTT